CCAGGAGGTCATCTACATCTCCAAACAGTGTAGCCAGGTTCTCCTTCTGTTCATCAATCACATCGTCCTCAGCATCGACCTCCTCAGTGTAGGACACATCATCTTCTGCATCAAAGAGCTCATCATATTCATCTGGTTCTCCCCCCTCATCCTCTGGAGCATCTTCTTCCTCAGGAGAATTCCCCTCCTCAGTTGCCTCACTTTCTTCCAGGAGGGAGGCCAACAGATCCAAGTCATCATCAGCTAAGGCAAAAATTAAACTCAGTGTTATTTCTTTTCAGTTAGAGGAAAGTTGCCATGGAATAAAATATCCATGATAACCTAAGCACAAGGTAATGACAACCAAAAGTAAATCATAAGAGCAAGCGGCATTCTTCAAACACTACTTGAACTTTGGCTAAAGAAAGATAAAGCAGCTTTCTGCCATCTGGTCGGATGGAAACATGGTTGCAGACACTCTCAGTTTATGATCCAGGCTGGCTGGTCAGCAGAAAATTTGCAGAATACTTAGTGCTGGCTTTTCCTCCTATGCAGCTGCTTGTACAATAGCTGCTGTTACAAAGAAAAGCCTTGGGACTTGTAAAGGTGTATCCAGGAGCTCTACAGACACACCCATGTGATTTTTGCCAACAGAAGCTGAAGAGAAAGATGCAAGGTAGGCAAGAAAGCATATCCTCAGATATGCTTTGCTGAAAGAAGAGAGCAGAACGCAAAGAAACATGCATCAAAGGGACAAATAATAGCAAAAAGAAAAATCAAGTTGATTGAGAAAGGAATGGGACAGACAGAGCAGAACTCAAATTCAGAACAACACAGATTTACTCAGCATTTGCTGCTGAAGGAAACAAAACCTGTGAAGGGACAGAGCAGCCTCACAGAAAGGTGACAACAATGAAGGCAAGGGGCAAACTCAAAGGCCTCCACAAGTGAACATAATTTCAGCGCAACATAATTTCCTTTGCTAAAACATTGGCGGGTGCCGAGGAGCGCGCGGCTGGTGGTGAGTGGGGCCGTGGGAAGGAAGGGTCGGGGGTGCGGGGACCGGTACCCCAGAAAGTGATCCTCGGGGTTAGAGGCTGGGGTGAGGGGCCGGAGAGCCACAGGGAAGCCCTGAGGGAGGTCGGGGTTCCTCTAGGTGGGGGAGGCGGCCGAGGGAAGAGCTGCTGGTCACGGGCGTGAGGACGACGGTGTGACCCGCCTCGGTGGAGCCCTGTGCCGTGTCGCGGCCTGCTCTGTGGGGCGGCTCGGTGGTGTGAAACCTGCCTCTGGGTCAGCTGTGGCTGAGCCCGCTTTCGGTTTAAATAGTGCCTGTGTCCAGTCGGAGTGACCACCGGGGACGGTTACAGCAGGCACTGTGGGCATCTAAATTACCTAAATTATCTCAGCACTTGTGTTAACCCAGCAAATTAAAACTTGTGTATTGTCGCCCTGTGTTCAGTTGAGGGGATTTGCAGTCTGGTTCAGTATTTCTTTGGTATGAACAACCATGATTCTGGGAAAAAGTAATATTTCTGAGTATGTATGAGCTCATTGCACTAGTCCCTTCCTCCTTATATCAATTAAATGCAGAAATCACCCCAAAATTGCCCCACAACCAGAAGGATTTGAGCTTGGCTCTCAAGGCTCTTGCACTAAGTCCATTCGGCGCAAGGTAGTACATTCTACACAAAGAAAGAGAGGGTGTCTTTGGTATTTAAAGGCCAGCAGTACCAGTAGCGAGGTAGGAAAGCCAAATTAAGGATAGAATTTCTGTGCTAGCTGAAGGAATCAAGAAGAAGTTCCAGCAGATGGCAGGAAAAATTCAGAGAGAAGTGCTCCACTGAGAGGTTGAAATGCTCTGCTGAATGGTTGTCAACCAAGCTGTCCAGTGCATGTCATGTTAGACTCTCTTGTTTTCAGGTTTTCTCTGAAAAACCACATGCCTAGCCCAGACATGCAGGGCTAACTCATTCTGTATGCATCGACCTGCGTGATGCTCATGCAAATGTGCTTCAGGGGAGACGGAGCAATGAATAATGACAGGAGCTGAGGGTGCTCCTCCATATTGCTGCTCATCCATGATGGTGGGGAAACACCTTGTGCCCCATCTTGGCATGGGTGCAAATCCACGGACAGGCATTGGAATGCTGTGTTTTTTCGTATTTTCTCTCCCTCTGTCTGCTAGTTGCTAGTGTAATTAGCCCCAGGCTAATCACAGAGCACCACCAAGTGCCCCTACTCTCCATCTGGCTGGAGTGGTGACGGCTTGCATGCTCCGGTGACTTGAAGTCTGGAAATACAGAGATACCTTGCTGCTCACAAATCTCAACCCCACTCCACAGGACTGTTATGGGCCCTTCCCAGTCTGGATTTCAAATCTGAAATATAAGGAAGTGCTTCTCGCTCCTGTTCCATATCAAGTCAGGGTGCTGATCGAGGGACATGCTGCTACACCAAGAATGTCCTTTGTTAAAAATAGAGATAAGTGGACAAGTAGTATTTCGTGGATATGTAGCATCTAGTCACTTTAAAACACAAATACATTTTATCTTATTTTCGTCTAAGGGAAAACAAAGGGGAATTACAACTGCCCTCTGGATTGCAGTTTATGGTGAAAACAACAGAAAAATAATCCTCCCTGTTGCATGAACAGGTTTCAGTGTATTGTGGGTTTTATTCTTTGCAGTTCCTTGTGCCTCCTGGTTTGCACTATTAGACCTATTATCTTTCTGTGAAGACCTACTTGAGCTAATGTCCACATCTTTCTGTTAGTATTTCTGTGCTAAGATCCCCTCTCTTTCTGAAGCCTCTTAAAATGATTAATTTTGACTTGACAGATGCATATGTAATGCCTCCCTTGGCCTTTCACATTGATTTTCTGTGTTTTCATTAAGGTTAATGCTCCTCAGATGAAATCAGCTCTATTATCATTCTATTAGTTTGAGTTTGGCTTAGTAGCACTTCTATCAGATTTTGATCATTGCAGAATCCATTACTATCACAATACTCCTGTAATAAAATTGGATTCAGGGAAAAAAGTCCATAAATCCTACTGTTACAAGAACCAATTAAAAGCCAATAAGAGATTGCATCTGCTGGGAGTACTTGTAATTGATGAAGAAGGTTGCAACCAAGCTGATGAATACCTCTTCACAACAGATTTCAGACAGCTCTTGCATTACCTGAAATTATGGATGAAATTGTGTGAGAACATGAGCTATAGCTAACAGAAGACAAGAATCCAGAGACTACAAGAGATAATGAGAACAACCAGCAAAATAAAAGCAACTCCTCACTTTAATTACAAGGGCAAAATCGGGATTGTTTCTCCTGGTATTGGTAGCCAAGAATTCACTGACAGCATGACATGAAAAGTACACTGAAGGAAGATTTTCTTTGGCCCAAGAAACATCTACAGGTATTTTTCTTGTGTATATTTAAAGAATATTCATCTGCTGAGAGCGAAACAAATCTTATACTATTGAGGCCTTTATTTGAATCAATCATAGTTTCTATTTTATGTTTGAAGCAAAATATTGGGTCACCGAACTTTTTATTTCTAATTCTGCTATTGATCTGTTCAGCATGTTTTCTCCTCTGTGATTTGGATCTTCATCCACATGACAATTTGGAGAAGCACTTATTTATGGAAGTAGGTTGACAGGAGAATTTGTCACATACGAGTACAAAACATCTGCTGTAACTCTGCCCATTCAGCTGTGGTATCCAACATCCCTAAGGCTTTCTCCTACAGAGTTGTTCTCCTTAGCTCAACATCTCAAGATGACATAAGCAATATATATAAATTTCACGGCACAAGCAATCTCTCACAGGTTGTACAATCCGTTCAACGGTCAGAACTCCAGAGTACAGAAGCATGTTGACCAGCTGCACGTGATCTGGTCTTTATCTTCATTTGGAAGAAAAGCATTCTTGTCCCTGTGCCTGAAAAGCTCTGCTGCTCT